AACTGAGCCACCTGGCCAGGACTAAATAAATAAATAAATATTTTGGTTTTTTATTGAGCTCTTCAGTTTTAAAAAAATTTGAATCCATGTTTATAGCTCAAATTAAAAATCTAAAAATTCTATGGTAGTTTTTTAAAGAGTATTTATTTATTTTTAGAGAAAGGAGAGAGGGAGAGAAACATCAATGTGTGGTTGCCTCTCTTGTGTACCCTACTGGGTACCTGGTCCACAACCCAAGGCATGTGCCCTAACTGGGAATCAAACCAGCGACTCTTTGGTTCACAGGTTGGCATTCAGTCTACTGAGCCACACCAACCAGGACAATTCTGTGGTAGTTTTGTCAAAATAATTATGTTATTTTTGAAGAAAGTATACAAAATACTTAAGTTTTTATTGTAAATCTTTGAAAATGTAAACGTGTTGTTTTGGTAGAAGTTATGAGCTCCCATACATGGGAGACAAAAATGTCTCCCAAATTTCTTTGAGTCACTAAGTAGGGAATGGTTCTTCCAGGTTATATCAGTAGTTTTGATAAATCAAATTACTACATTTTTATTAAGTTTTCTAGAGTACCTACTGCTTCAATCTGAGAAATCCAAAAAAAGAAAACTTTCCAGTTTGTGTCTTCTACCTTCTAGATAGTAAAATCTGCATTAAAGACTCACCATGCCCCGGCTGGTGAGGTTCACTGGCTCACAGGCTGGATTGAGTGCCAGCTTGTGAACTGAAAGGTCACCAGTTTGATTCCTGGTCAGAGCACATGTCTGGGTTGCTGGCCAGGTCCCTGGTTGGGGGTGTGTGAGAGGCAACTAATCTATGTGTTTCTCGCACATTGCTGCTTGTCTTGCTCTCTTTCTCCCTTCCCTTCTCTCTAAAAGTAAATAAAATGTTAAAACAAAAAAAATGAAGATTCACCATGCAGGATCATCCTTGCAGGTGAAAGAAGTGGGCTGGGGTCGTGTGGAGGTGTGTGTCCTCGTCTGCTGGCCCTGGTGGCCTGGCGAGGCAGGAGGGGTGGGTGTGCCCTGGAAAGCAGAAATGAGTGGCCGTGGGCTTTCCCTTGCTGCTGGCCTGCAGGCCCTGTGACTCATTGCCAGACAGAGATCCCAGGTCCACAGCTCCCTAAAACAGTGCATCCGATCACTCTTCTGGTGATGGGGCAAGGGCTAGGGAATGGTTTCACTGCCAGATAGTCACCATCCCAAATGAGACAGTTCCTGTGGCCGGGAGAATGTGGGTTTTTTAACCTGAAGATTTAGGTTCAAATCCCAGCTCTGGTACTTGTCAACTGTGTGGGCGGGTTAGCAAGTCCCCTAGTCTCTCTGAGAGGTGAAGGTGGCAGCACTTGTGCCCGACATACGAGGTTATTACAGTGCTTTCCTAGTAGGTTGCTATGTTGTGGTCAGCTAACTCCGTCACAAGTGGGAAGTCCCCACACTCCATCTGAGGAATCCAGGTGGGAGGTGGGGGGAGGCTGCTATGATCGGCGTGGATGTGGATCCTGAGTCAGGGGAAGCTGGTGGGCATGCCTGGGGCCACCAAGCCCAGTCTGAGCCAGACTTGGAGGGATGGTTGTCACTTTGGTCCTCACTGCTGTCCAATTGGCCGTTCTTCATCTGTGGCCTTCTGTAGACCAGGGAAGCAGCTGCTGCTGCTGCTGCTGCTGCTGCCACCAGGAGCCGCAGGGCTGCCTATGTTGAAGCCCAAGGAGAGGCCTTGCCTACGATCGCCTCATCGGCCTGCCTCTCGGTGGGGGAATGGGCCTCGCTGACCCAGAGAGTCATTTCCTGAGGTCAAATGATTTGTGTACCCACTAGCAACAGTAAGGCCCTGCCCACTCCTGGGCATGAGGAGCTTTGGAGTTGGGTTGAGCCAGGCAGTCCCAGTGTCTCTAGGGAGTAGAGAGAGGGAGAGCAGAGCCTGGCTCCAGGTCCAGGCCTTGGGCTTTCACAGCCAGTGCTGGACAGTTCTCCTGACAGCTTCCTTGTGATGTAGTGGGAAGATGCTGGGAGGGAAGCAGCAGAGCTTTGGGCCCTACATCTGTTAGTGAGAGCCGTTCGGCTGTGGCCTGTTTCCCACTGTGGGCTCTGGGGTAAATCTTTGCTGAGGGCACACAAGGCTTGGGATGGATGCTGTGAGTATGAGGAGCAACTTGCCCTTGAGCCCGCTGGTTTGAATGCAGAACGGAGTTTGGGCTCCACGGTCTGTCTGGTCAGCTCTGCCTCTCCAGTTATGCCCTCTGTCTCCCTTGCCAGCCCCTGGCCCTGCCATCCATCTGCTCTCACCCCCACACCTTTGCTTAGAGCTACCCACAGCCCTTATCTTCGAGCATTGTGCATGCACACACACCACACAGAGTGAGTATTTGAGCGCTGCCTCCCTTTGTGAGCCACTCAGATCTTCACGCACCCTGGCCCACTGACCTTTCCCTTCCAGGGGAGAGCTCCTACCCGTGCCTCTTGGGAGGGGTGGGGTGTCACTAAGGAGCATGTTCACATGGGCATGCTTCTCAGACACCAAGGAGGCAGCAGAGGCTGAGAAAATTTCTTGGAGGGGCTGCCTTGGGGGGTAGACCTGCCTGCCAGCCCCTCAGCTTGCCTACTGTATGGTCCTGGGCTTGCCACACGGCCCCATGGGCTCCATTGCTGTTCCCCAGCAGGCAAGCACGCAGGCCCCTGTGCAGCGCACAACCTCCGGTTTTACCTGCATCTGTGCCTTTACCTGTGCTCCTCCCTCCTGAGTGGCCTCCCTCGCTCTCTGCCCTGTTTAAGCCGTGGTGTCCTTCGGTTCTCACCGTTTCTGTTTAGCATAGTATTGGCGGTCTGGTCAGGACAGTAAGTTGGGAAAAAGAAATAAAAAGTATGCGGTGGAGAGGAAGAAATAAAACTGTATTCTCAGATAATATATTTTTAAAATTCTAAAGAATCTTCATAAAAGTTACCAGAACTAATTGGTAAGTTTAATAAGGTTGCAGGACATCGGGTGAATATATAAAATATCAAATATATGTGTGTATGTTTAATAGTGTTATTGGGATGACCTTTGTATAGCATAAAATGTGCCCATTTAAAGCATACAGTTCAATGGTTTTAGCACATTTACAGTTATGCAAATTATCATAACCTAATTTTAGAATATTTTTATTACTTTAAAAAGAAACCTTGACCCCATTTCTCCACCCCCCAAGATCAATTATATTTTGTTATAATAGCAAAAAACAATTGAAAGTTAAAATTTATAAATAACATTCATAATTGCACCAAAAAACAAAGTACTTAAGAGATAAATTTGTCAAAACATTGTTGAGAGAGATTGAAGAAGATCTAAATGAATGGAGGGATACACTATGTCCATGGGCTGGAGTAATCAATATTATTAAGCTGTCTATTCTCTTCAAATTGATCTATAGATTCTACACAATCCCAATCAAAATCTTAGTTGCCTTTGAAAGACACTAAGAAAATGAAAAGACAAACTATAGACTGGGAGAAAACACGTGCAAAGCACACAGAAGAATTTATATCCAAGCTATATTTAGAACTCTTACAGCTTAATAAGGCACACCACCCAGTGTTTTTAAAAGGGTTAAAGATTTGAACAGACAGTTCAATAATTTTCTAATAAACCAACAGTAAATAAGTATATGAAAGGCTCAATATCCTTGGTCATTGGGGAAATACAAATTAAAGCCAAAATGATACTAAAACCACTACAGCCCTACTAGAATGGCTAAAAGAAAGAAGAAAAAAAGACAACTAATAATATCAAGTGCTGGTGAGGATGTGGAACCTCATGCATTGCTGGTGGATGCAAACCAGTACAGCCACTTTGGAAGACAGTTTGGCAGTTTGTTATCAAGTTAAGCATATTTTTATCTTATAACTCAGCAGTTCCACTTCTAAGTATTTACCCAAGAGAAATGAAAACACGTGTCTGTGCCAAGCACATGTGAATATCGGCTTTATACATAATAGTCAAGAATTGGAAATGACTCAAATGTCAGCAGCTAGTGAACAGACTGACAAACTGTTGTGTATCTACCACATAATGGAGTCCACTCAGCAGTAAAGAGAAACAGCGTACAGGTCCTTCTGACAATGTGGATGAATCTCAAATGCATTACACTCAGTGAAAAAACTAGTCACAAGACACTCCATGTTCTGTGATTCCATTTATACAACATCTGGAAAAGGCAAGACCATAGGAACAAGTCAGTGTTGCCAGGGATTGGGGATAAAGTGGAGGGGACTGATTGCAAATAGGCATGAGGAAACTTTTGGGATTGATGGAAATATTCTGTATCTTGATTGCAGTGGTTATAATGTATCTATATGTGGCGGTTACACATATTACATATGTGTAACTTATCATGGACCTGTCATTTAAAAAGGGAGAATCTCATTACATATAAATTATACTTCAATTAAAAAAAATTTCTTTTAGCTCTTGGTAGTATGGTTGAGTGGATTGAGCACCAGCCTGTAAACCAAAGGGTCACGAGTTCAATTCCCAGTCAGGGCACACACCTGGGTTGCAAGCCAGGTCCCCAGTAGGGGGGCACACGAGATGCAACCACACATTGATGTTTCTTTCCCTCTTTTTCTTCTTCTTTCCCCCTCTCTAAAAATAAATAAATAAAATCTTAAAAAAAATTTTTTTTAAACCCACCATGATACACTTCAGAGGCTCATTTCAAGCCTCCTCTCCTTTAGGCTTTCTTATCCATGTTTTTGTTGCACAGACTTCTGGCAAGTCCCTTCCAGGTCACTCACAGTTTGGGTTCCTGCTGACCACAGCATGGGCTTCTTCAGTAGGGCTGCCTCAGCTCCTCAGGGTGGTGAGCTGCTGGACTCACTGCCCACTCGGCACAGCCAGACCCTGCAATGCTGACTGAAGCGGCAGGCTGGAGAGAGGAGTTTAGACCTGGGCGGGTTTTGGTGGCTGCCTTGCTTCTCTCTCAAGTGCCTCTACTCAGCTGTGGCTGCTCTCTTCCCCCACAGGTTGGGATAAACATTCCTATGGTTACCATGGAGATGATGGGCATTCCTTCTGTTCCTCCGGTACTGGCCAGCCCTATGGCCCCACATTCACCACAGGAGATGTGATTGGCTGCTGCGTGAACCTCATCAACGGCACCTGCTTCTACACTAAGAATGGTCACAGCCTTGGTGGGTACATAGGGGACCTTGGAGGGTTTACCCTGTGGAGCCACTTCGGTTGGTGAGAGGGCCAAGGGCAGGCTTTGAAGCCAGAGCAGTGTCACAGATCCCCTGCTGAGCGGTGGGGAACTTCAGCCATTGCCAGGCATTGGAGCCCTGCAAGGTGAAGGGAGGGTAGCATGGGCGCCCTCTTTGTTAATCCATTCATTCGAGAGCATTTATCGAGCCCAGGGTCAGTGCCGACAGAGAAGCAGTGTCGCAGTCATGCCCCCGGCCTGTGTGATATTTGCTGGAGCACTGTTTGGGGCCGGTGAGAAGCCTGAGGATCCCAGTTACATACTTGAGTGGCACTGGTTTTTGAGCCCAGGGCCTGGGCCCAGACTTTGTCAGGCCGTTCTGACTCTCAGGGTGATGGTTGCTACGGAGCAACCGTGAGGGCTGCTTCCATAGAGGAGGTGGACAGACAGGCTGGAGTCAGATGGGGCTGGTCTCTTCTGGCCTGTTTATGGTTAATAGACAGCAACCTGGACAGATTTATACTTAAAAAGGTCTCTTTGGTGAGACTGGGAAGGATGGACTGACTGGAGCAAGGGCTAGCAGAAGAGGCAGGTGGCTTGAGGCAAGGCAGTAGGGGAAGCGGGGGACAGGGGTGGCCCAGCAGGGTTTAGTCCTGGATGGGATGGGATGCCTTAGCAAGAAGTGAAGATGGAAAAGTGGCTGAATTAGTGGTGTTGTCTACTGGGATTAGGAACCCAGGAGAAGCAGCAATCAGTGGAAGGTGAGGGGCCCCTGGAGGGTCCCTTGAAAGAGCAGTCTCAATGCAGAGAAATTTAGGATTAGAACTTGAGAGGGGGAGATTGGCTGTCCTAATGACTTGCCCTACTAGGACTGACTGGTATTTGGCCCTTGAGTGAGAGGAGTCCTTGGCCAGAGTGGTTCTTTGGTGGTGCCTAGCTGCTGGGCCTTCCTGCCTGGATTTGCAGAGCTCTCTGATTTCGCAGAACTATACCAGCCTTGCCAGGAAAAGATGTTAGGCTTTTTACTTGGAATTCAACTCCTAGGAGACCCACTGACTTGAGCGGCAGTTAAGAGGGGGCTGCCATTCCCCACAGCCCTTCTGTGGCTTCTCCAGGAGATGAGCCCATGCAGAATCAAGGGACCTGTTGGAAATCGGGTTTGCTGGTGGCTGGGCTGTGTGATCAGGAGCCAGCATTCCTCGACGGGGCAGTCAGATGCCACAGGCCAGAGTGGGCATCGAGAGCTTAGCACAGACACTGCACAGCTGACTTGGGTGCACATCAGAGAAACTCCCCTCTGAAATCCTTGGCCACCTGGCTACAGTTGCTAGTATCCAGCTGGTGAGGTGCTAGCAGCTGGAGGGCAAGGCCAAGGTCTCAAGATGGCTCCTCACTTCCTACTTTGTTCTCTGACTCTAGCTATTTCCCGGCTCTGGGTTTTTCTGCCGTCAGAGTCCCAGGGGCCACTGCTGTGGTTCTCACTCTTTACCCAAGCTGCCCTTCACCTGCCCCTCTGCAGCCAGGCCAGTCCCTTCTGCTCTGGATTCCTTCCCTCTTCACATTTCTCCAGCTTGTCCACAGCTTGGTCAGAGCATGGCCCCTGCTGTGGGACCCACAGGTTGTCCCCTGTGCATCCACACCTCCCTCCTCTGGGCCCTAGATGTGTACTAGGACCCATGAGCTCTTTGTCGGGTCCCCAGGTCCATAAGGAGCTCATGGACACCTTACTGTCAACCCAGACCCTCACACTGTTTGTAAGAAGTCATCTTCCTGGTGCATATTTTTACAGACCTGCATGCAAGACCTCATGCATCTTATCACTAAACTTCATTTAGGAGTATATTGCCTATTTTTCCAGCATGTTGAGATCTTCTATGGTCTTGCTTGTTCTATCTCAAATATTTGGTAGTCTTTTCAGCATTGCATTAACCTAAAATTCGATAAACTTGTTTATGTATGTTTTCATTAAGATATAAAAAATATTGGAGGAGAACAAGGTTGAGATTTGAACCCTTTAGTCTATAGCTTGTTCGGGTAGACACCAACCATTGAAGAATCACCTCGTTATGGGCCCTGGCTAGTATCTCTCAGTGGATTGAGCACCAGCCTGCGAATCAAAGAGTTACTGGTTCAATTCCCAGTCAGGGCACATGCCTGGGTTGTGGACCAAATCCCCAGTAGGGGATGCATGAGAGGCAACCACACATTGATGTTTCCCTCTCTTTCTCTCCCTCCCTCCCCCTCTCTCTAAAAATAAATCAATAAAATCTTAATTAAAAAAAAGAATCACTTCGTTATGTTATTTTGAAACTCACGTTCTTCTGCCTTCTCCACAAGGATACTACTGAGACCTTACTAAAAATTGGATATCACCTGCATTTTCTAGATCATGAACTTTAATGGTAAGGCAGTGAACTTGGAGTGATAGACCACTTGGTTAATCTTCTAATGACTGTTTCCTTTTCACAAGCCAGCTTATCAGTAAGTGTTCTTCAGAATCTCCCACAGGATCAAGGAGCCAGTCACTCACTGTTCTCTAACCTCAGAGCCTTTCCCTCTTTAGAGAAGGTGGCTTCCTGACCTCCCCCTTCCTTTGTTCTGTTGTGCTCTGTCACGGCACTCACCCTGTGTGTCATTAATCAGTTGTCTGTGTGATTATTAGTCGCATGCCATCTCTGTTGCTGGAGTCAGCAGCACTTTGAAGGCCAGGCTTGCAGCTGATTTCCCAGTGCCTGTCACAGGGCCTGGCTCCTGGGGGGTCTCAGCAGAAACTTGACAAAGGATGAATTGGCAGGTGCATGAGACAGGAGCCCGACGGCTCATCCACAGGTGTTCCGAGCACTTGCAGTCACTTTTGTCCAGTTCTGTGCTCTCTCGCAGCTTCTTAACACCCTCAGTCTCAGCACCCTGTGTGTGTCTGTCTCAGGGCAGTTCGTAGTAGCAAGTTTGAGTGCCCTGTTTGCATCCCGAATCTTTGCCTGGGCCTCCTTCCTGTGGCCTGCTCAGATTTTTTCATCGCAGTGGCCTTGCAGTGGCTCCCAGAGACCTGCAGGGCCCCAGGGGAGTGGTCCTGCCTTTGTCCAGTGCAGTTGGGAGTGGAGTAGCCTCTTCCCTCGTGCTCCTGGAAGCACCTCAAGGTCTTATCCTTCCTGAGTGCCATTGTGAGACAGAGCTGGTGAGCTTGGGTAGGTCACCCCCTGCCTAGAAGCATGGCAGTTGCCTCACCCAGTGGCTCAACTGCAGCCAACTTGTACCCAGACCTCACAGTTTATGAAGCAGCTTTCACAAAGTATCTCAGTTTCTCTCTCAAGGGTCAGGATTAGTGTTCCCCCATTATTTTCAGATGGGCTCAGAGAGGTTGGCTAACTCGCCACAGGTCACACCGCAGATAACTGCTGGAGCCTGGACTCCCCCTCCTTCCAGGGTCCTGTGGGCCGCCTCCATCAGCTACCTGGCCACACTGAGCTCCATGAGGGCAGCTCCCACGCAGCCCTGGAGGGTGGGTGTTGCGGTCTCATGGGTGCCAAGGGGCTCCTAGCTTTCATCCCAACAACTCTGGGACCGCTGGCTCTGCGTGGGGGACTCCGAAGTAGCCTTAGGCAGGCAGGTCACGGAGTTTATAAGCTTCCTTCACTGCAGAGCAGAGTAGCCCAGCAAAGAGAATGAACAGTCGCTCCGTGCCTTGGTGCTCTCATCTGTAAACTGGTGCCAGAGACAGTGTCCACCTTCCAGGTTGTTCTGAGGAACGGATGGTTTCTTGTTAGATCTGGAGCCCGGTGCCCAGCGCAGAGGAAGCACATGGTGTACAGTGGCCGGCTGGCATGATTCTGGCTCCAGGTGTCTGGGAGAACCCGTGCTCGCATCCCTCACCTGCTGCTGTCTTTTGTGGGGTTTCAGTTTCTTCTCTGGGTGGAGTTGGGAGAGCAGGCAGTGATTTGAGAAGGTTTGGGGCCAAAAAAAAAAGGTCAGGAGTTTCTAGAAGATATAAGAATTTACCTAAAAAATGGGAAGGCTATGATTCCAGGGTTAGTCTCCTTTGGCCCTGTCGTTTCTCAGTCTGCAGGACACGAGTACTCTGGTGGGCATCCTGAGGCCGCTCGCCTGCTCAGGCCTGCTCATACACTTGGGGTCCCGTTCTCCTCCACCCCCACCTCTTCTCTTGCCAGGAGAGTTCAGAGGGTACACAGGCCAGTGTTAACCCGGGCTTTGCCAGCTTGGAAGCCCTGGTGACTCTGGATGGGTATGGGATGGAAAAGGGCGGCTGCCACCCTCACTGTCCCCACTGCGGTCAGCTTAGAGGTGATATGGAGTGTCAGACTAGGGATGAGGCCAGCCGCACCGCTTCTGGTAGTTTTATGGCTAAATGGCAAATTGCTTAACCTCTGAGGTTTACTTTCATCATCTGTAAAATGGGGGTAGGAAGCCTGCTCCCCAGAGTTGGTATGAAGACCAGATGAGGTAATGAATGGGAAAGAGCCTGGCAGATAATAGTAGGTCCCCATAAATACGTGCTGGATCACGAGAAGGGTCAGGCCTGGAACGGCCCCAGTGGTAGGTCACTAGGATTCTAGTCCTTTCTAAGAGATTTTTCCTGAGAGGGTGGGAGGGCTGTGGGCAAATATTTGCGTATCTGACTTCTCTTCTGGCCATGCCACCCGGCGAATGGAAGGCCAGGGTCCGAAACTATGGGTGCCTGGCCTCCACCGTAGGGTAGATGTGGTGCCCAGTCTCCCCCCTCCCAGCTGTGCCGATGGACCCCCTGTGCACTGATGACTGTTCTTTCCCTCCACAGGTATAGCCTTCACCGACCTCCCGGTAAGTGCTGCGGCTGGGTCTCCCCTCTTCGGACTCTCGGGGGCAGACTGGGTCGGGGTGCGGAGGTGTCTGCAGGCCCAGGGTATAGACCCTGTTCCTTTTCCCAGCCAGGGACGTGTGCTGTGCTGTCTACCTGACGGTCCCAGTAGGGGTACCTGCTGGCCTTTCTCTCTCTCTCCAGTAGCAAGGCCTGGGCTTCCTCCATGACTCTTAGCAGGCGACAGTGATTTGTGGCATTTCTAAAGACAGCTGGGGGTGAGGAGATGAGGGCAGCTCCATGGCTCAGCTGGCCAGAGCCAGTTCTAGGTGACTTGCAGCCAGTGGGCTGGGTGCAGAGTGTGGGGAACTGTTCCTGAACTGGTGGGCCCTGTGCGTCCGCATTCGAGCCCCCTGTGGAGAGCCAGTGCCCTAGGGGACTGGACCTGCTAGCACGCAGGGAACCCCGAGCCAGAGAGGCGAGCTTTGTGGGTTTTCTCCTCTTGGAAGGGGGCAAGGTTCTGGCTGGCTTAGTTCAGGGCCCATTCCCAGGTCTCATACCCAAGTCCTTTATTAATAGTCGTCACAGGCCTCGTCACTTGCAGGACCCCTACCCAGAGTTCTGGGAGCCCGGTGCCCTGCTCTGTCTTCCCTGGCCGGGTTCTGGAAAAAGGAAAGGTTTGCTGACTCTGGTGGCTTCTTTGGGACCCTGGGTGCTCCTGAGATGCCCAAAGAAGTGTAGTTGTGATCTGCGGGGCCTTCTGACGCCCAGGCTGCGGCACCCAGGATCCTGTTAGAGCCTCTTGTCTGTGGGTCAGAATCCTTCTCTCCTACCTGGAGGCCCCAGAGCGGGGCTGTGGTCCTGGACAAAGTGAACAGACACAGGAGGAGAACGCTGACCCTGGCTGGGGAAGTCGAGTTGTGGAGACATGACAGGAAACAGCCGGACATGTGGATAAGTGCTAGTGCTAGAAAGTGAGCAGGTCCGGGGAAGGCTTCCTGGAGGCGGTGGGCTTTGCCTGTGGCCTGAACGAAGGGACGGGGAAGGAAGGAAGCTGGAGGTCTTGTAGGTTCATGGGAGCAAGAAGTCTTGTAGGTTCAGAGGTCATGGTGGGCTGAAACCAGCGTGCAGTACAGGCACATGACGCTCAGGAATGACACATGGCCTGAGGACAGAAAGCAGAAGAGAGGACTGGGACCCAGTGACAGTGGGGAGGAGGCTGGCAAGATGTGAAACAGCGGACGTGAATGTGGGCAGTGGCAGTGGGGAGTCACAGGAGGTACTGAGTGAGGGAGTGGCTGGGCAAAAGCTGGTTATGGCAGGGGACAGATGGCACGAAGGGACATGCCCAAACCTCACTGGCCAGAAGACCCTCTTGGTGCGTCTCTGACAGGAAGGGCAATGGCCTCTCTTTACCCTTTGCCAGTGTCAGGGGATCTAAACCACCTAACCTCTTTGCCATGTTCTCTTCTTCCCTTCCCTTCCTGCCTCCCCCCATCTCTTCCTGCCCCCCTCATGTACCCCTTTTTGTGGCAAAGAGATCCTTGGTCCTGGATCAGCCTGAGAGGAGCCATTATCCACCCCTGCAGCAGATCTCCACGGGCACACCTGCAGGGTCATGGGTCCCCACGTGCCTTTTTATGCCCTGGGCAAGTCCCAAAACGGGACCTTGGGCTTTGGGCTTCGGGGACACCATAGCCTCTGATGCAGGAAAGGAGATTCCATGTTCGGCCAGTTTGCTTTCCTTTTGCATTTTTCCCTCAAGTTTTGGGCAATAGTGTCTGGTAAGGGGGTGGGCGGAATGTGACTTAGCCCCACCTCCTCCAGCCTCGCCGCAGCTCTCTCAAAGTGGGGGCAACAGCCGGCAGCAGTAGTGCCTTCCTTTCTGCATCTGCACCGGAGGAGGTGAGGTGAGGCGAGGCAAGGCCTGCTGCCCCACTGCCCTCAGGGCCTGACTGACATTTCATTCTCCTCCTCAGGCCAACCTCTACCCCACCGTAGGCCTGCAGACACCCGGGGAGATTGTGGACGCCAACTTTGGGCAGCAGCCCTTCCTGTTTGACATTGAGGACTACATGCGGGAATGGCGTGCCAAGGTCCAGGGCACTGTCCACTGCTTCCCCATCAGTGCCCAGCTTGGCGAGTGGCAGGCAGTGCTGCAGAAGTGAGTGCCCTGCCCCCGCCCTTACCCAGCCCTGCCCCATCCCAGGGCCCTTACTGTTCTGCAGGCCCCTGGACTGCCACGAGCCACTCATGAACTCCAGTGGGTAGCATTCCTTCAGGAAAGTTCTCCCAGGGTGGCTCTGCCTGCTGCTCTCCTGCTCCCCTCCTATCTGATGGATGGCTCCTGCTCAGTTCTCCACGTCTGCTGTTAATTAAACGTTTGCCCACCCCACCCTCCACCCCAAGTGGGTCTGGTGGCTCTCTATGTAATATCTCTAGCAGGGCTGGTTTCCCTCCCCAGCTCATTTTGCAGAGGGTGTCCTAGGATGCCACCTGGTCTCTTCCTCTTTAGACTTTTTTTTTTTTTTACCATAGCCAGTATCTGTCATGCTATAATTCTGGCCTGAGGTCACCTCTCAGGGTCAACATTTAGCTAAGTCCCCCACATCCATGGCAGTGGTGGCAGGAAGAGAGTCCTTCCTTGGACCAGCCTAGTAGCCCTTGGCTGTTTAATCCCTAGACTGTCCTACAGGCCAGTCTTACTGAGGATCCCAAGGGAGGCCAGGTTTGGGTCTCTCATCCACTGACCAGTTGCAGGCCTGAGTGAGGCAGTGACCAGTACCCACTCTGCCAGGAGGTGGGTTAGCTTGTTAGCTTGGCTCCCAAGGTTAGGCAGTGAAGGACTGGGCTTCTACTAGTCCTGGTCCCTTGGGTTAGGTGCACCCTGGGTTCTTTGTGTAGCTTTCCTTTCTTAAGGGATCGAAATTGAGCCAGGGCCCAGGGAGAGCTGAGGCAGGGGCGAAGTGGCCAGACCCTTCTAAAGAAGAGCAGCACAGCTGCGTCTGGTTCCCAATCCCCAGAGCTGACGAGAAGCTTGTGCTGGGAGGGCCAGCACAGTGCCAGCCCCTGCAGCAGGCTTGCTGGGATGGGCGAGGGGGAGCTGGCGCTGTCCCAGCTGTGTCGGGGAGGGACCGGTGCTCTCCACTTACAAGGCCTGGGATCAGCAGCACATGGGTGTATTTGTTTATATGTGTGTGCCTGTGTGTGTTCATATGTAGTATTTGCCAGCACCTGCATATTACTTGTGTTCATTTTACGGATATTGTTAATGGCTATATTATGGAGACAAATTTGCCATAAGCTCTTGGGCTGGCTTCCCATGGTGGGAGGTTCAGGTTATTTCCTCCCTTTTGCTTATGTAGGTAATCCTTTTGTGTGTTGACTTTTTTCTTTTTTCTTTTTTTAAAAAATTTATTTATTTACTTTTAGAGAGGGGAAGGGAAGGAGAAAGAAAGGCAGAGAAACATCAGTGTGGTTGCCTCTTGAGTGCCCCATACTGGGAACCTGGCCCACAACCCAGGCATGAGCCCTGACTGGGAATCGAACCAGCGACCCTTTGGTCTGCAAGCTGATGCTCAGTCCACTGAGCCACACCAGCCAGGGCAAGTTTTTCTTATTTAAGATTTTTTTTCTAGGTGCCCTTTCAAAAAGGAGAATTATTTAATCAAAGGGGTCATACATCTTAGTGGAGTCTGTTGTGCACATCTGAGCCATGTGTTGTCAAAAAGGTTTGCCTTGTGTTTATAGTAGTAGTAGTAGTAACAACAATAATAATAATAATAATAATAATAATAATAATAAATTATAAGAATTGTTACTTAGAACATTGTTATAAATACGTAATTCCATAATAAGAGGCTGTGCTTTGTGCTGGGCACTTTGTGTGTATCCTTTCATTTGCCCCATAAAACACAGCGGGACACACAGCTGAACTTCTGTGCCTTCTGCACAATAGCCCCTCAGACATTGGCTTTGGCAAGTGCAGGAATGCTGTCAGGCACACACACATGCCGAGGTACCCACTTCCGTGCACATCAGACATGAGGGCTTGTCTTTCCGCCCTGCATGTGGGTGCACACGTGCTCTCAGGCCACTGCTCAGCCAGCTTTTGGGGAAATTAAAGGGCCACTGGGCCTCGGGCTTCTCGGGACTATTTCCCAAAAATAGCATTCCTGTCGGCCTGGTTGTTGCCGGATATCTTGGCTTCCCGGGCCCCTGAATTGTGGCATATGGGGAGTAACTTTGTTCATGGGTTAGCTCCCCTTTGGAACCGGCATCCCTGGGGGCCAGGTGTGCCTTATGAGCTAGAATGCTCCTGCCAGCACGTAAGGCAGCCCACAGAGGAGCTCCTGTGTCTGTGGAAGGTATGCACGTGGCATGCATCCTCCCTGGCTGGGCGGCTGCCAGACCGCTTGGCAGGCTGCCTTGCCGGGAAGCCCTCAGAGACGCTACTGACCATCTCTGGACTTGGTGCAGTTCCCAGGGGCAACCACTTCCATAGGAAGATGGTGTGTGCCTGTGTGTGCTCTTGTTACCATGCCTGCCCACTTGTGGGCAGCACATCCCAGAGAAACGGCAGCTGCTCCTCCAAGCTGCAGAACAGACGTGGGGACCTGCCCCTGCCCGGCCTGACTCCATAAGGACCGGGGGAAGTTTGCATTTTGTTTCATCCCTTATATTCTCATTCTATGGAGGTTGCACTTTAAAAGGAATTTAGGGAAACCTAAGAGGGATATTGTTCCTTCAGGTGGTCAGTGAGAAATGCAGGGATTTTTTTTTTTGTTTAAAAAAAATTTTTAATTACAACTTACATTCAGTATTGTTTTGTATAGTTTCAGGTGTCGAGCATAGCGGTTAGATAATTGTATACTCTACAAAGGGGTCCCCCCAGTATTTCAAGTACCCACCTGACACCATTCATGGTTATTGCAGTGTGATTGACTGCTTTCCCTGTGCTGTAACATACATTCCTGTGACTATGCTGTAAGTCCAAAAAGTGCAATTCTGGAGTGTCACCTTGGGCATTTCCTTTCTTCTAGCATGGTCTCATCTTACCTGGTGCATCATGGGTATTGTGCCACAGCCACAGCTTTTGCCCGAATGACTGAAACCCCGATTCAGGAAGAACAAGCATCTATAAAGAACCGACAAAGTAAGGCTGATTCTCCTCTTCCCTCTCTCTCCCTCCCTCACCTGTCCTCGACTGTGCTCTCTGGCTCCTGCCAGCCTTGGGTGACCTGTCAGGAGCCCATGCAGCTCTGTCCCTCACCACCAGAAGGCCAGCCCAGAGCCCCAGCTCAGCCCCAGGCACGCTCTGCTGGCCCGGCATGGGCTGAGGCCTGGCATGGCTGGATTCCCCTCCTCCTTGTTCCCTTCCCCTCTGAAATCTGAATTCTACTCAGCGTCATGTTCATGGTCTTCTGAAAAGAAGTGTCTTTGTATGTTAGACCAGTGCCCTGCCTTCCACACTATTTACTCAACGTTAGTAGTTCTGCCTGCTCCTGGTCATAGAGAGGGCTGAGTCATCAGACAGGGCAAGGGCTGTGCTCAGTGGCTGTTGCGGCAGCACCTCTCTCTGCTCCCCACCTCTGGTCCTGCCCTTTGCAGACAACCAAAGGAAGGAGCCAAAGGAAACTTCCCTGGTGTTCATACTGGCCTGTGTACTGTGTTCGGGGCTTGTTTATGGAAAGAGGGTGTTGGGAGAGAGGAAACGGAACCCAGGAAAGAGTTAGGAAGAAGAGAGAGGAGTGAGGGGGAATGGGCGTGTGTGGAAGTGTTTGTCTGTGTGTGCCTGCCTGCGTCTCTCTGAGCCTGTCGTCTCTGTGTGTGCGCATGTGTCTGTGTCTCCCAGAGAAGCTGCGCCCAGACAGACGGACGGAAAGGGATCCCAGACTTGGGATCTATGAATGACAGCCTCAGACTCAGAAGTCGCTCCCAGCAAGACGCACCCGGCCCCAGGGCAAGAGCAAGCTGCTGATGGCCTGAGAGGTGTCAGTGTCAGAGATGCCAGTGTGAGGAGGATGGTCTCCTCTCCTGGCAGGGAGTGTGCTGCAGCCCCTGAACATTGCCAAGATATGGGCTCGGGCCCAGAGACCTGTGTGCTCCCTTTGCCACTCACCTGTGAGGCCTGAAAGGAGAGAGATTTGTCTGAAGAGGAGGCCCTAGGGTTGTCAAGCTGCCTGGATGCCCACCTGCAGATTGTGCTCCCACAGCCAGGGGTCTCCCCCAACCCAGGTTCCTGGTGACTTGCGCTCCACAGGAGCATGCCTCCAAACTTGCCCTCTGGCCTCTGGGCTGAGAGTCCCTGCTCTGTTTTTCCCTCTTATGCTTTGAGGACTCCCAAACACTTGGCAGAAATCAGGTTCTGTGTGGGGCTGGGCGGCCAGGTTCTTTCTTCGGCCTCTTCTGTGAGCATCTCAGCCGGGCGGCTCAGCCAGCCCACCTGACTGCCGGCCGGTCTGTGCTCTGGCCTGGCATTGTGCGGATGTGCATCTGTGAGGAAGTTCTGCGGCCCCTCGCTCACTGCTGCTGTGTTCTTGCTCTCTGCAGAGATCCAGAAGTTGGTGCTAGAGGGCCGTGTGGGCGAGGCCATTGAGACCACACAGCGCTTCTACCCAGGGCTGCTGGAGCACAATCCCAACCTGCTCTTCATGCTCAAGTAAGTTTTGGGGCCTGCCAGCTCCCCCATAGCCCAGCCCTTGTCAGCTGGTGGTGGGAACATACAGCCTGGACCGAGCCCAGAGCAGTGCCGCTCCGCTCCCTCTGCAGGTGCCGACAATTTGTGGAGATGGTGAATGGGACCGACAGTGAGGTCCGCAGCTTGAGCTCCCGAAGCCCCAAGTCCCAGGACAGCTATCCTGGCTCCCCCAACCTCAGCCCCCGACACGGCCCCAGTAGTTCCCACATGCACAGCACAGGTCAGCCACTCTCCAGACGGCTCTGGGAAGTACTGGTGTGGAGAAGAAAGGCCACCTGCATACTCTGCCCTGGGCTGGGCTTAGGGTTCACTGCTGGATTTGGGGGAAGGGAAATGGGGCCGCTGTCGTCATTCCCAGGGCCCCACTTGACAGCAAGTTGCCCCTCCTCTCCTGACTGACCCCTGGCTTACAGGTGCAGACAGTCCCAGCTGCAGCAATGGCGTCGCATCCACCAAGAGCAAGCAGAACCACAGTAAATACCCTGCACCCAGCTCCTCCTCTTCCTCCTCCTCGTCCTCCTCGTCCTCCTCATCCCCATCCTCCGTCAATTACTCCGAGTCCAACTCAACAGATTCCACCAAGTCCCAGCCCCACAGCAGTACCAGTAACCAGGAGACCAGGTGCCTACCTGCTTTTGCTGCTTCCTCTTGCCTTCTGCTCTGTGCCATCGGGGCCCCTGTTGCCTGTCTTTTGAGTGTTGCATCCTGCACTTGTCCCCCACCTCCACCCCTGGTCTGTGCCTGGAGTAGTAGCTGCAGACCTGCCAGGCATTGGCGCCAGCTTCTGACCCCACCCGTGGTTCAAGTGCCACTTCACTTGGCCCTTTTTTTTTTCCCCTTAATTTGTTGATTTGGGCGGGGGTTGTTGAAGAGGGAGGGAGAGAGAAACATCAATTTGTTGTTCCACTTATTGATGCATTCATTGGTCAATTCTTGCATGTGCCCTGACCAGGGATCAAACCTGCAACCTTGGCATATCAGGGTGACACTATAACCAATGGAGGTACCCCACCAGGGCTTCTTGGCCCTATCTTTATCCAGAGACACTGGCACTGCCTGGCTGAGAATGTGGTCTCTTTCAAGGAGATCAGGACTTAGAACCCCCAAAGTCTATGCTAAAGGAGTTTTTTGGGGCTTAGCTTGTGGTCACCCAGGTGGGGCAGGCAGGGTTTTCAGGCTACAGGCTACAGGGGACTTTTCGCAGCTCCCAGGCGAGCCTTAGGGCTGACCTGATTTTGACTCCCAGAGATGCCTATTGTGGCTCACAGGCCCCAATCATCTGGGAGTGGGGGATGTTTAGGAGTGTGCCAGCTTGGAGGAGGGTCAGGGAAAGGAAGGTCACAGAGGCAGCATTGGGACAAGAGTAGGAATCGAATGACAGGCCACCGGGGATAGCTGCTGTCACAGCAGGGCCTCAAGTGTTGGAGCCTAGGAAGCCCCAGCGGTCCTTTCATGTTCCCAGGGGCCCTCAGTTTACCCACAGCAACCTGGGGCTAAAGCCTGAAGGCAGGCCCCAGCAGGCCACCCCGACCACGTCCCCTTGGCCAACTCCCACCCCAACCCAACCCTTCTCCACAGCGACAGTGAGATGGAGATGGAGGCGGAGCATTACCCCAACGGTGTGCTGGAGAGCATGTCCACACGCATCGTCAATGGTGCCTACAAGCATGAGGACCTGCAGACAGATGAGTCAAGCATGGGTGAGGGCTGTGCCCCAGCGTGGTGGCCCATGGGCGTAACACTCAGTCCAGATGCCCCTGCCCCCTGGGAGGGGGTTGGGACGGGCAGGTCTTGGCAGCTTGAGAGGCTTTGGCCAGATCTGGCCCGCTGCCTCCTCAGCCAGTCATGAGTGAGTACTTGAGGTGGGAAGGCCCGGCCTGCTGCCAACACCGGGGCCCCTGTGCTAGAAGGAGTTCGTGAGAGTGGGCACCCTTATGAGCCCCCGTGCATCTGTACAGGGTGGGAAGAGGGAAAGCTTCTGAGTCCCTGAAGAGCGCGTGCTAGGTGGACTAAGGGCAGCTCCGCAATGGATGGCCCCCGTGCCCCTCCCAGCCCTCGCTTGCCTCCTGCAGAAGCTGCACCCCCTCACCCCCAGGGTCCTTCTTGCCGTGTTCTCTTTGGGGCCCCCTCAAGTCCTCCCTCTCTCTCCTCACCCCTCCTGATGTGCTCTCTGCTGGACTCTGGGTGCAGATGATGGGCATCCCCGGCGGCAGCTCTGTGGGGGCAACCAGGCTGCCACAGAAAGGATAATCCTGTTTGGCCGCGAGTTGCAGGCACTGAGTGAGCAGCTGGGCAGGGAGTATGGCAAGAATTTGGCCCACACGGAGATGCTGCAGGTACAGAGCAAGTCAGCGCCTTACACGGAGAGGGTCCCCATTTGGTAATGGGGGCAGGGTGGCTCTGGGAGGGCCCTTGGGACAGCAGCACCAGCACAGAGTGGGCTCCGGTCAAGTCTGCAATGGGAAATGGGACACCCAGGCTGTGCGCCGGCCTCTCTAGGCTCTGGGGAGGGCACAACCGTCCCTGACCCAGCAGTGGGGTGTGTGGGACCCTCACTGGGCACCACGCAGCCCTGAGTCCTGTGGGGCCATGGAAGTGTGTGTGCGGTGTGCCCACAGTCCCTTTAAGAGCGCCCTGTCCCTTAGGATGCCTTCAGCCTGCTGGCGTACTCTGACCCCTGGAGCTGCCCAGTTGGCCAGCAGCTTGACCCCATCCAGAGGGAGCCTGTGTGTGCTGCCCTCAACAGCGCCATTTTAGGTAAGTGGGTCTGACAAAAGTAGAAGTTTGCCCATCAGTTCTGGGTGGCCCCCTCCCCTCCCTCCGGAGGAATTGCTGATGTTTATCCAAATCGGGGCAGTGAGCTCTGCCAGGAGCTCTCTGGTGGCCCATAGGGCTCTTGGGCTCAAGTGGCTGGACCCAAATCCTGACTTCCCTCTCCCAGCTGAGTTGTCTGGCTGCACTGTGATGGGCCCTAGGCTGTGCCTGTGGGCCCGGGGCAGCCCATTGCCCTGAAGAAGGCCAAGGTCCTTGGGTTTCCAGCATGGCCACAGGGCCATGGCCTGGTGGCTGGGACATGCTCACAGACACAGGTGAACACTCCCTTCAGGAGGTTTTGTTCACTCTTTTCTGCGGTGTGCTCCCAAGGGAGCGTTGACCCGGGCCCAAGCCCTGAGCAGAGTGGTGACTAGGCCTTGTCTCTCCTCCACAGAGTCTCAGAACCTGCCAAAGCAGCCCCCGCTGATGCTCGCCCTGGGCCAGGCAACTGAATGTCTACGGCTCATGGCCCGAGCGGGCCTGGGATCCTGCTCCTTTGCCAGAGTCGACGACTACTTGCACTAGCTGACCGTGCTGGCTGGCCCCGCCTGGCCCTCCCTCGGCCCAGGGCTGGAGCAGCCTGGCCCTCCATAGGCACCTGGCGCAGGGACCTGGAAGCCACGGGCAGAGTCCACTCCTCCTGCCTGGCCTCCTCCCTTTCCTTTCCTTTCCTTTCCTTTCCTTTCCTTTCCTTTCCTTTCCTTTCCTTTCCTTTCCTTTTTCCTTTTTCCTTTTTCCTTTTTCCCCACCTCAGTCTCTCCCCCCCATCCCCCCTTCACGTGCAGCGGCCTATGACGCAATATCGGCTGGTTACTCTCATGTAGCACCTTCTACTTTGAAAGGGGGGTTTTGTTTTGAGGAGGGGTTGAGTTTTTTTAATCATTTTTTTCCCACATGACTGAGCCACCAGTATTTATCTCTGGAGAGTTTGTGCTGAGCTGGTTTCTGCTAATTTAGTGATGAAGCCTATCCAAGTTGGTGATAGCTTATTATTTTCATAAGTAAAAAAAATGAGATTATATATATAAATATATATATTACAAAAAGACACAGTATTTATCGTAGTGTTAGTCCAGCACCTCTTGGGTGAGGCTATCCAGACACCATATGTTTTTATTGGAGTCCAATTCATTAAAAAAGGATCATCTCTGTAACCTCAGCCAAGTGATTTATTTCAGGCTTCCCTTTGTTGAGCCACAGGTCCAGCTGCAGCCCAGGGCAGCCCAAGAGGCTTTGCGGTGGGGCACTCAGTGGGCCGATCAGGCTGAGCTGGTTTGTAGCATCCAAGAGGTATGAGTCCCCAGGCCCCAAAGAATCGGACTGAGCGGAAAACCAGTCGGGCCAGGGGTCCAGAGAAGGAGAGGAGTTGACCCAGGGCTACACAGCAAAGCAGAGGAGCAGAGAGTCCTTGGCCAGCACGCTATCTACCATTCTACCCTGCCTTTCACTGCCTGCCTTGCACCTCTTTCCTTTTCAACATCCTGCCTTCTCCTGTTGTTAAGATGGCCAAATAATTCATTTACTCTAAGTTGATTGCCTGGAAACTACCTGCCTTCGACCTGAGAGCTGCTGTGTGTCAGGCTGCGGGGAGGAAGTCTCCATTCCTAGGACTGAGGCCCTTGAATACAGGGGCTGCCTTCTTCCTGCGTGGATCTTCACTGGCTCTGCACAACTCAGATGGAATCGACGCTTTCTGTTGAGAAGCCAGGACCTTGTGGAGGCAGATTCTTGGGCTCCCCGTCGCTGGAGTGGATGGCCCCTTTGACCCCCTAGGCCAGGCCTCACTGCAGCTGTGCCAAGCAGCTCCCTGCAGTTGGCCCCAGCCACTCTTAGGACAGACTGTTCTGAGTATTTGCTGGCTGGAGGAAGGAACCTCATAGGCTTTACAGCGTCCCACCAGCCCTGTCAGATGGACCCTTATGGCTGGTGGGTCAAAAACAGTCCTGGTACTGCCATCAGGGAATCAGGAAAGGAAGGGCTAAGCTGGCTCCCAGGACATGGGTGGGCCATCTGTGGTGAGGACTGACAGCCGGGAAGAGGAAGGGGAGGAGGTCTCCTCGGAGGAGCACCAGCGGGGCCTGCGATGTCCCCACCTGTTTGATGGTGCGGGGAGCACACACGCAGCCCCTGCACATGGGCGAGGTCAGAAGCTGCATTTCCATTCCCTGCCTGGATCTCGCCTGGGCACGCTTCTGCTCTCTGTCAGTGGACACAGGAAAGGGTGGGATGGCCCGAGATGCTCAGTGCCCACCAGGCCTTGCTGAGCCCACAGCTGGCCAGTGAGGGAAATGATTGAGTTGGACCAGCTGCTAGTGGTGGATGCGTCAAGGACCTGGCTCTGGGCTGTCTCAGAATTTTGCCTTGGGACCTGATCCTAGACATTGCTGTGTTTTCTTGGTCCCCACCAAGGCAGCTGACAGCCCACAGACCATGGCCCATCAGGGGAGTTGTCCTGTCTGCAAACAAAACGCATGTTGTGCGGGGCTGAGGATGCCTAGCCCCCAAACCCAGAGGTTGGAAATACCAGTCCGTTAAAAGGGTCGGAGCCAAGCAGGTTGGGAATTAAAATCAGAGGCATTTGCAGCTGGAAAGGGTTCAGAGAACATCTGCTCCACCAGTTCTCTCTCTTATAGATAAGGAAACAGGTCCAGGAGGTTAAGTGACTTGGCCAAAGTCACACAGCAGATTGGCGCCAGAGCTGGGACTAACCTCATCCCTGTGGTTAGGCAACGCAGTTTAGCCTGAAAGCTGAATGGCAGGTTAGGGGTTAGGCTCGCAGTGTGAGGAAGGCCTCCAGCAGGGTCTGAGCAGCTGGTACTTTCAGGGGTGTGTCAGGGATGGGGATAGGTGCCTGGGCTTGGGGTGTGGAGCATCTGAGAGAGGGTCCAGGAGGGCTCGGGACAGCTATGTGCTGCTTGGGATTGGGTGTCTGCCTGGCTTGCACTCAGTACCCATGACCATCTCCCCATTTTCTGTGCCTTATCTCACTGTTTCAGCTGAGTCCAAGTTGTTTACTCTGTTCCTCTCCAGAGGGGCATTCTGTCCCAGCTGGACAGCTTACCTTTGGGACATAAGCCTTTGCCCCACAAGCCGTGGAGAGGACCACAACCAAGCTGCTTGAGCCCACTGTCTTGCTGATAGTTCAGGCCTGCCTGCCAGCCCGAGGGGCCCCTTATGCACACCCAGTTTTACCAGCCTGCTCCCAGGAGCCAGGAGTGGGGAAAGCACCTGGGAGGAGACCCGGTGAAAAACTGGACTCGACCCAAAGGGTCAGGAGGAAGAGTTAGCCCTGATGGGTTGTCCAGCTCTGGGGAAGCCGCTGTCCTTATCTTTTCCTCTGTGCCACCAAACGACTGCTCCTTCCAGAGGGGAAGGAAACCGGCAGATCACACAAAGAAAGGCAGAACCCCCGATCTTCACCTATGTGGGTCTGTGCCTGGATGCAGGCCTTCAAAGGGGGCACCGAGAGATGGAGAAGCGGGCCTGCTCGTCCACTCAGCACCTTCCTCCCCCTTACGCAAGCACAAAGAAGATGGGGCAGAGAACTGTCAGAGCCGAACGTTCCCACGGTTGCTCACAACTCAGGTATGCACACGGTGTGGCAGCTGGGCAGCGGGGCCCCACGCGGCCACCAGTCCCGTGCACTCGGACCCGCAGCCAGATGGTGGACTCTGGCTGCCTGAGGCGCCACCTTCCTGCATCGGGTTTTCCTCCATTAGTGACTACAGCCGACACAGACATCCTCCGCATTGTGCACACTGGTTCTGCCTTTGTCCTCGCAAGTCGATACTTGGCATTAGCATGAAACTCGTGGGTGTGGGAGGGTTTAGAGAGAATTCTAACACAAAACATCCTATTAAATTGTACTTGAGAGATGAAAAACTCCTGTTGTATTTTGACAGAATTATTTTTATTAAAATACGCATCATGAGGAGTCACGAGTACCTGGTCTCTGTTTTGGTCTCATTGGGCCAGCACCCTCGGGGCGTCGTGCAGTGTCCCAGGGGGTTCTGCCTCTTCTCAGCCCAACTCACGAGTGTCTGGGCCCCTGGTGCCCCAAGGTCTGTAAAGACTTTGGGTGTTTTCAGCACCCTAAAGAGGATAGGTACTTAAGCTTCAATTCTCTCCCTCAAAAACAACTTATCTGAGTCAAAGAAAAAGCAAATTCACCTTCAAAAAGTTGGGCCACAGGACCTCCTACCCACAAAATAAGATTTTAAAACATTGCCAATAACGTTCCCCCCGCAAACAATAGACAGTAAAAAAGAGCTTTTCTGAGGGGGTACTGAGGTTACCTTCCTGTCAGTCTGAGGAGAAAGACCTCGTGTTCAAAATCCTTGTTCTGTTTACTAATGGGGTAACCCTGGAAAAGTAACCTGCCTCTGTTTCAGTTTTTTCATCCTTAAAATGTGGTCCATTCTTTTACCCCGTGGTGGTAGAAGATTCTAGCATGCATAGGGGAGTGTTTGGCCCATAGGGATGCAGGACAGGTGATTGCCCTGCCTCCATGAGGATGCTCCTTGGGATGACTGGCCTGCTCTTGCCTCATCCTGCCTCCCCTGCCCCCACAGTATAAGGGTTTGATGCAACAGAGGGATGCAGTAGCTTAATGCTGCTGTCCACCTGCAGGCGGAACTGGAAACAGAAAGAAATCAACTATGAGGCTACTGCAGCAGGCCAGACACAAGAGAACAGGTTTGGGAAATATTTAGGAGGTGTTGAGCACAACATGATGAGCAATTAGATGTAAGGGAGATGGGGTGAGCACGAGACAAGGCAAATGTAGGTTTTGATTGGGGCGAAGGGATGGGTAAGAGTATATGGAACAGAAGGGAACAGGTGGCAGCTAAAAGTCACAAGTGGGTGAGGTTTGCTGGAGGGCAAGTGGATCCACGTATCAGAGAGACATCGTTCCTGGAACTGGAAAAGGGTTCCTTGGTCCAGTATATAAGGAAACTGTCATGGATGGTCACAGGGAACATCATCAGCTAATTAAAAGCTCTAAAAATCCTATGTAAAGATGTGCAGCTGAACCCAGCCCTTCCAGACTTACTAATAGAATGCTCCACTCAAGCATTTTACAGAACTAGACTCTACAGAACTGTCAGGGAAAAGCTAGTATAGAGGGAAGAGTGGAGTACTAGATAGGCACAAATGTCCTTGATTCCATAAGGAAAGCTGGAGTGATTTCCCTCTAGACTAGTTTCCCAACCTGGACCAATTTTGCCCCCAAGGAGACATTGGCAATGTCTGCAGTTCTTTTTCTTTTTGAAAATAGATTTTATTTATTCCTAGAGAGGGGAAGAGAGGGAGGGAAAGGTCAATGTGTGGTTGCCTCTCCTCTCCTGCTCCCCCAACTGGAGACCCAGGCATGTGCCCCAACTGGGAATTGAACCAGTGCCCCCCTGTTTTCCAGGCTGACACTCAACCCACTGAGCCACACCAGCCAGGGCAAAGGAGTTATTTTTTTAGTCACAGCTGGGATAGGGTGATACCTAGTGGGTAGCATTTAGGAATGCCACTAAACACTCTAATGCACAAACAGTTCACACAACAAAGAATTAGGTCCAAAGTGTCAACAGTGCCACTGTTAAGAAACTGCTGTAGAGTAAAATTTTGAACAATGACTAAGACAAACTGATCAAACATAAGCACACTTTGATTCTGCCTCCTTTATGTCTGGCTGTTCAGAATCCAGGGGAAGAAATAGGGAATAAAATCCCATCAGAAAAATGAGCTTTGAGATTACAATTTTTCCTCACTCTGGAAGCCCCCCATGCTAACAAAGATGGCAGTAGTTGTGAGAAGTTCTGTCCGCTGCCAAAGCAGGGACAGCCCTGCTGGTCAGCTGGTCTCAGTGGGAACTGCCTCAGCTCAACTGACATGTTCTATCATTACAGGCTGCTTTGGAAAGAGGGCTAACTGAGCGAGAGGGAGAAGGGGTTCAGACTCACCAGGAGAGTCAGACAACAGGGATGAGGGCTCCCCATGCAGAAATAACCCCTAATCCTACATTCCAACATAGCCTTTTACACTAAGGTTTACAGGTGTCACTACCGTATTGGATTTGGTGAATGAAAGATGGTCTTATTACAAAATGGTATTTATTTGTGGGGGTGGGTATAGGCTCCAATAAAGAAATCATGGGGACTGAGATCGCAGTCCTTAACAGTACTAATACCTACGGAACAACTAAACACCTAGGAAGCAGTGAAGTTCGGCAAGCAGACTCAGGAGAACTGCTCTTCTGCAAAGATAGAGCGTGTCCTACAGCAGCCCTTCCTTCATTCCTGGGCAACCCCAAACCACCAGTTTTTACAATCTCTGCTCACTCTGTCTTTGTTATGTGTGTTATGTGTATGTTTTAAGATAGAGAAACATCGATTTGTTGTTCTACTTATTGACGCATTCATTGTTTGATTCTTGTATATGCCCTGACGACCTGGGATCAAACCCTCAACCTTGGTGCTTCCAGGCGATGCTCCAACCAACTGAATTACTTGGCTAGGGCAGAACCACCTTGCTCTTGATGCAACTAGAAAGGATCCGAGGCTGTCACACAGATCTCTCAGTCCCTCCACCACCGGAAATGAATGACCAGGGACTTAAGCCAGGCTATTTAACCACCCCCCAACACACGCGCGCGCGCGCGCGAACACACACACACACACCCAAACAACAAGCGAGCGAACGAACACACACGCGCGCGCGCGCGAGCTTGCGCAACTACGGGTCTTGGCTCCTCCTTGCGCGCTTCCACGCCCCCCGTCAGGGAGCATGCGCAGATCTCCCGCCGTCCCACGCCCCCCCCTCCCTCCCCGCCTCCCTTCCTAGAGCCCCCGGTTCCTTAGAAACCTGGCGGCGCGTTCTGGTAGCGGAGCGCTAGACTCCGTGGCGGGCGAATTCCTGCCCGCCTCCTTCACTGGGGGTTGGCGTCCGCTGAGACCGTCCGGACCCAAGGTCTCCTGTGCGGAGCGGGGCGGGCAATGCCAGCGTGCCAGGTGAGCGGCGGCCTGCGGCAGCGGGTGAGGATGGAGGAGGGCATGGCGCGGCTTCGAGCGGGCGTCGGCCGGGCCTCTACCGCGGCCGAGCGTCGGAGGTCGGAGGCGGGGATACGCAGAGTCGGGGCTGGAGGCGGTCGTTCGAACTGCGGGCACCGGCGCGGAGTTCGAGGGTCGCCCCTGGAGTTCGCCCTCCCCACCTCAGAAGTAGGACCTGCAAGTTTGGTCGTAAAATTTTGGCTCCTGGGGGGACCTCTTCTCTAACCCCATCCCTTTACAGGACCGGGCTCCCCCGCCCTGTGCAGAGTAGACCTACCTACCTGTGTGAGCAGTGACGCTTTGTGGGTGAGGATGTGAGGTCTGGATGCTTCAGACAAAGGGCTGGTGAGGTAGCGGGCCATCCCCTTTCAGAGTGAGATGGGACTTTTAGCAGGGGTAAATCTTTATTTAAGGAAAGAGTGTTCAGGTGGCAGGTGGGAGAAGGGACCCCCCAGGAGGTGCGGATGGCTCTGCTAGCCCCAGAGCCCACGGGCCATGTCTCAAGGGCCCTGGCCTACCTTTGAAGCTCAGGGAGGAAGCAGATGGACCTGCGGAGACAAAGGTGAGGTGAGGCATTTCCATCCAGGAGCTATTGTGACGTGAATGGTGAGGAAGGAAGAGGGGGCGGAGAGATCAGGACTTAGGAAGGACTATGTGAAGTTTCCCTCCCCAACTACTGCGAATCGGAAGAACAGGACAGGAAGGGAAAAGTTTGAAGCTGGCTTGGATAGACCAACTCAGCTTATAAACCATCTTGCTTATGTTCTTTTCCCGCTTAGTGTCATGCTGAGGGCGAGACACTGGAAAAAAGTGGGTGCCCGCTGAAAGTCCAGAACCAGGGCCAGCCACCACCCAGAGGATCTTTGTAAGCTTTGGGCACAAAGGTCTCAGGAGGAGGAGCCCTTAGTGTATCACCCTTCCTTTGAAGGGAACAACTGTTATTAAAGAAGACATGTGTTATTGTGATATGAAGAGCTGTGGGGTTGGTTGTGTTTGCGAGTTCGCGGAAGCTAGATTCATTCTTCATAAGGAAACTCATTTCATCCTGAAAAGCTGTACCAGGGAACAAGAGTTTCAAGGCTGTCCATTTTACAAAAAGTGTGAAAAAACAACTGCCTTTGGACTAGGAGTTTAGAGAGTCTGGACCAAGGGGGGACATTTTTCAGCAGGCAGTTCTGTTGGTGGGGTCCCCATTTTACAGATAAACATTCTGTTGTGAGAGGCTTTCTCTTACCACCTGGTTGCCCTACTTTTCCTGTGGAATGATTAATCTGGGTCTGATCAGTTGTTATTTTTATTTCCTCAGAAAATTCATATATAAGATTTCTGTCATAATACTAGAACCCACTAGTAGTAGGATTAGCAATGAAAAAAAACCTCACCAAAAAAAAAGAAACAAAGATTTGTAATATGGGGGAAAGAAATATGCGGTTTTTAAACCAGATGGTCACTGATTCTAGTCAAAAAGTCAATTGCTAGCTTGATAAAACTAATCTTCAGTGTATATTCAACTTTGCAGCATTTTTTCACTCCCAGAGTGACAAAATACATTGAAAGTATGATAATGTTAATAGACCATAATAGTTTAAAGAAGATCACTTTCGGTTCACAGATCAATGCCCGACCATAACTATTGTTATGGCCTGTGAATATGGTCTATATTGTGGCTGTGAATCTATTTTAATTAAAATATAGTAACTATGCAATATTACATTAGTTTCAGGTATCCAGTATAGTTATTAACATTGCACAGCTATGCATTCTATTGACTTTTCTTGCATCAAGAGAAATATGGGGTATTATCAGAAGGGTATGTAATCTGTGGCTGAAATTCATACTGCTAACCAAATCCTGTCAGAAAAGTTTCATGAAAGTCATTGTATTCTGTGTAGAAGTCCTCATTAATTTATCACTAGCCCAGAAAGAAGACAAATGAATAGGCCACAATCAAGGTAAGATTGACAGGGAGCAATCAATTACCATCTGCAGAGCTGGATGAGATGTGGGAGCATGCTTTGAATGTATGTGCAGGGGTGTTTTTTTTAAGATTTTATCTATTTTTAGAGAGAGGGAAAGGCAGGAAGAAAGAGGGAGAAAAACCTCAATGTGCAAGAGATATGCTGATCAGTTGCCCCTCACATGCCCCCAAGCGGGGACCTGGCCTGCAACCCAGGCATCTGATTGGGAATTGAACTGGTGACCTCTGGGTTTGCAGGCTGGCGTCCAATCTGCTGAGCCACACCAGCCAGGGGAGATACATTACTGAATGAGCATTTGGAGAAGATACTGCTTAAATGTAGTGAGTGTGCCCCATGGATTTGTGTGCATTTTTTGAGCTTCAATAATCATAAAGACATTAGTTTTCAGAGGAGAAAGATGGACTTAGAGACACTCTAAGTGTTTCCTCATTTCTATGGCAGTGAAACCTTTGACAAATAATTACTTAACATCTACTCTATTTTCTGGGGCAGCTGAGGACAGTTATCAAATCTGGCCTATAATAAAGTAATCAACAGTATTTAATAGGCCAAGGTACGCGATAAACCAGTAATGCTAACAGGATTTACTTTCACTGAACTGATTTTCTAGTTACACAGTAAGAGGAAAAGTTAAGTGGAAATGCAGTGCTATCTGATGGAAGAAGTTGTAATACAGACATCAGTGTTCAGAAAATAGAGGACCCAAACAATGGAGACCTTAGAAGAGCCTTTCTGATGTCTGACGTCACTCACGCGTATTTATGGAAGGTCCAGTTCTGGAAAAAATCCACCACTGGAATGGGACATCATCTAGGGGATAAAAAATGGAGATTTTGCTCTTTTTGAGAATTCATGTACAGTATAGTAATGGGACATTATTTTTTACTTATTTATTTTTTAAGATTGTTTCAATTTACTTTTAGAGAGGGGGAGGGAGGAAGAGAAGCATCAATGTGTGAGAGATACATTGATTGGTTGCCTCTCAGGCACCCCTACTGGGGACCTAGCATGCAATACAGGCATGTGCCCTGACCGGGAATGGAACCGGTGACCCTTTGGTTCCCAGGCTGGCACTCAATCCACTGAGCCATGCTAGCCAGGACAAAAATAATTTTTTTGAAGTATATTTCCCATTTTGAGACAATCAATCCCCCACCCCCCGAAGTGTCTTTGTGCTTGTGTAAAGGATGACATTGAACTTGTTTTCTCTATGCTGGCCTTCACCCCTCCTGGCTTTGTTGACTGTGTTAAAAGTGAGAGGTTGGGGGAACAATGGCAGGGTCTGGGCAGCAGTAACATCTCTTCCTGCCTCAGGTGTCAGTGAACCAAAAGGTAGTATGGTTACCTAGGCAATGAATTTAAATGTGTATAATTGGAAGGTGACATACAGATCTTGTGCTGCTTTTTAAAATTGATATTTCTTTGGTGCCTGTTGATGGATAGTTTCCACCCTTATGGTCTCTTGGGAGCTTGTCAGGTGGTTTTGTAGGACAGTGTCCCAAGGCATATTATAGGAAGTTTCATGTGGTTAATGGTTTCTGCAACCCAGTGGTGGTTCTCTCTAGGAAATGGCTTTTGTCTCGGAGGAAACTCTCTGGGGGCGGCTCTGGGAGCATGTGAGATGGCGTGTTTGTCATGCCAGACATCCTCCGATTGCCCAGGAGTTGGGGGATGGTAGAGAGATCAGCTACACCTCCTGTTACTTTTCAGCCTTTTGAATTCACATTCTTGTGCCAGGACCTAAAGGGACATAACTTGTACTTTGGAGCAATGGGAGAAACGATTCAACACAGTACTTCTTATCTGATGTTATTTTTAAAAGTAAATCATTGTGTTTAAATGGCTGTTTAGGTTTCCGCATCCCTGGGCTTGCTCCTGGTTATTCTTTCGATTATATTATCTTTGTTTCTCGTTACTTCAGTGCTTAATATCCCTGACATACCAATATTGTTGTGCAAAGAACATTTAAGTGCCTTTGAGTAATTCCCAAATCATTCTAAGAGTGTTACCAAAATATTTTGAAGTTTTAAGTTTCAGGGAACTGTTTTTTCCTTTTTTTTTTTTTTTAAGATTGTATTTGCTTATTTTTTAGAAACATGGGAGGGGAGGGAGAAAGGGAGAGAAACATCAGTCGCTTGCCTCTCGCACACGCCCCATCTGGGCACCGGACCTGCAACCCAGGCATGTGCCCTGACCAGAAATCAAACTAGCAACCTTTACCTTTGAGGTATGACGCCCAACCCGCTGAGCCACACTAGTCAGGCTGTTTTCTCCTTAATACCATATATAACCCAGTCTTGATCGTGAAGGAGCTTAGAGTCTCAGTAGTAAGACAAGACATTGTGCATCATTTAAACAGTAATTAGGAAGTTCTAAAATACTGAAATGAATTGCTATTTCCAGGTAGGTATATCCCATATGCATATTGTATTTTATAAACAGCCTCCTTCATTACACGCTAACCAAAAAGAAAAAAGGGGCTAATGTGGCAGACTGTCCTGAGCTTAGATTGATTATTTTACATCTCACATTTAACAGTCAGAAGATTGTTAAATTACAGTTGAGCATGGTCATGGGCTAGTTGGTCAGCAGTTTTCTGCATCCAAGTAGAACAGTGGTCAGCATTGCCGTGCTCTGAGGTGCCCTAAGAATGTCCTACATTTGCCCTGGCTGGTGTGGCTCAGTGGATTGAGCACTGGCCTGTGAACCAAACGGTTGCCGGTTCAATTCCCATCAGGGTACATGTCTGGGTCACGGGCCAAGCCCCCAGCTGGGGGCTTGCGAGAGGTGACCAGTAAATGTATCTCTCACACATCTGTTTCTCCCCCTCTTTCTCCCCTCCTTTCCCTTCTCTCTAAAAATAAATAAATAAAATGTTTTTAAAAAATGTCCTACGCTAGAGAAGGCAGGCAGATCGGTGATTCTCTCAAGTGTCTCTTGTTGCCATAGAAATAGGAGTTTTCACAGGATCAGAATACTTGTGTCCGTATAGAACGTGGAAAACACTAAGAAAACTTCAGTAAATTAAGTTTGCATATTGAAAAATTTTATTACTATAATTGAAATCTCATTCTCTGGGACCACAGGTAAAACCAAAATAAATAATACACCTCTCTCTAGGGCTGACTGTTTCACAAGCATCATGGCCAAGTGTGCAAAGACAGTCTTTTTTTTTTTTTCTTTCACTTGGTTGCCACAGACAAAGACCTTTGAACACTCATTAGGTCCCTGTGTTAAATCAGACCTTGGTATTTAGCTATGAGTGTAGCAAGAAATGGAAACTAACCTGCAGGGACCTGGCCTGTCTGATAACTGCTGTGTGCTCAGCTCCTGGCATAATGCCGAGTTCATTGTGGGGCTTTAAAGATGCTGGAGAATGAATGAGGAAAGGACTCTGATGCCTGGATATTGTGTCGTTAGGGAAGGAGGGGTGGGGAGCACAGGAGGGGGTTCGAGTTTGAGAGGAAAGGTGAATTTGGGTTGGGAGAAGTTGGTAAGTCACTTGGGTGGGATTTCCGGAGTATAGAACTAGATCCAGAGCATTGTCAAGGCTGGAAATGGGAAGTTAAGAATCTTTGCAGGGAGGTCATAGTGAAGCTGAAGAGTTAGATGAAA